CCACAGTCACCGAACAGCTTTCCAACGGCGGCCCAAGACCCACTGCCCAATGGCTACTCGACCTTTGCCCTGGCGCCCGCCGGAATGAAGCCGCCCAAGGTGCGCAAGCCGCCCTATCTTCCACTCAGTTTGGAGTGTCCAGGTAAGCAAATTATAACATCCAATGTTAACATTCTTTTTAGCTAATCTTTTAATTTTTCATTTTACCAGGACTGCACGACGGCACTGGCCTCATTGCCCGGAACAACCTCTGCGGCGACCTCAACCAGGGGCTCATTCCCCGCAACCCGATGGGCCAGTCGGCGCTCGGACAGCCCTATCCCTTGTAATTGCACTTTCCAGGTTCTTCGATTTTTCCCAATAACTTTTCTAATCTTGTTTCAACTTTTGCAGCGAGCTGCTGAAGAACAAAACGCTGCAGTTTCTCTCGCGGACGCTGCCCTACCTCAAGGAGGAGATCGAGTCCATACCGAAGGTGGCCCGCTTTGTCAAGCCGTCAGAGTTTTTTGAGAAAAAGTAATCATCTAGCCAATGTTTCACCTTTTTTAGCCCCTAATCTAATCACTCTTTTTTCCATTTCAGTCAATCCTCCCGTCGGTACGCTCGTTCGATAGCCTCCTCCTCCTCCTCCTCCTCAGTCGTAGGCGATCCTTCCGGCCAGGACCTGTCCTCTGAGCGAAGCTCAGCACTTCTGAACGGAACTTTGGCCAAAACTGCTGTGGGCACTGCTGCAGTGGCAAAGCCGTCTCCGCTTTCAGTCGGCGGCGAGGTGAAGGGCATCCCCGAGGTGAAGGAGGTGAACATCACCAAGCTCTCCCGTCAGCAGCTGTGCGAGGGCAATGTGCTCTGCCAGGCGCTTGAATCGCTCAGAGAGGACGGCCTCCTCTCTAAGTCCTTCCTCTCCAATGTCGTCTCGGCGGTGGGCAATGTCGCCAGTGGAAGTGGAAGCGCCGGAAGCAGCACTGGAGCACTTTCCTCTCTCCTCGAGCAGCTCACCTTTCCTTCAGCAGCGGCAGACAACAGCAGCAAAAGCGGCGCTGGCAGCTCTCTGGCGGCGAATCGAAACAAGCTGGCCACGCTGATGACCCTCTCGCAGCTGTTGCCCTCGCTCACCTCTTCCTCTTCCTCTTCCTCTGCAAGTGACTCAAACGGCGGAACTCCCACTTCAGGAGATGGAAGTTCCTCCTCTTCTTCCAGCAACGCCTACAGTCCTCTACTTTCCATCATCGACTACCTGCAAAGTCTGCAGTCGCCCAAAACGAGCAGCTCTTACTACTCAGGCGGAGCGACCAAGCGAAAGTCCACCGTCGACCAGCAGCCTACCGAGCCGGAGTTTAACCTGCAAAGTGGTGGAACCGGGCCCGACCCGAGCGCCCAGACGCCCTGCGCCTCCAAGGAGGAGTACATCTCGCCGACGTACGCCCGTAACTACCAGGGCGTCTGGAAGTACGTGGTGCAGATTCCCAACGAGGGCTACTTCACGCAGACCGTCCAGCAGACCACCTGTCTGAAGACGAGGTGTGACCTGGTGGAGGGAGGGACCTGTCGAGAGTCGCCCAGGTACGTCCAGTTTAGCAGAACCTTCAAAAGTCCTAATTTCTAATCTAACTTTATCATTCCCCAGATGGGTGTCCCTCCTCGTCGCCGAGATCTTCTACCCGAACGTTTACTTTCCGGTGAACCAGCTGATGCCGATGCTCTACCAGAAACAGCAGCAGCAGCAACAACAACAACAAAACCAGCAGCCAGCAGCAGCCTCCCAACCGGCCGCCACCAGTTATCACCCTCATCATCACCCTCAGCAGCTTTCTCAGTCCTCGGCAGCTTCTCAAAGCAGTCTCCACCACCAGTACCAGGTTCTAAATAGCAATCACCACTCGTCGCAGCAGATCAAACGCCAGCAGACTGCTGGTGGTGGTGGTCACGCCTACCTTCGACCTGGAGCTCAACAAATCNTCACCACTCGTCGCAGCAGATCAAACGCCAGCAGACTGCTGGTGGTGGTGGTCACGCCTACCTTCGACCTGGAGCACAGCAGCAGCAGCAGCAACTTCCACAGCTGAATCAGCTGACCAAGGCCGAGCTGGCAGCCCTCGTGAACATGCTCAAACGCAGTGATAATGGACAGCAGGTGCAGCAGCAGCAGCAGGCATCACATCCCGGACTGGCAAATGTGGAGCTGCTCGCCAGACGAGCCAGGGTGGCAAAGTTGGCAGAGGCGGAAACTAAGGCTGTCCCGTCTTCTGAAGAAGTCCTCGGAGATTCGCTTTCCAGTTCAGGGGATTCGAGTACTTTGAGCAACAAAGGAGGAGGGGGCGAGGCTGGTGGTGGTGGACAGCAGCAGCAGCAGCACTGCGACGGCTACGACAAGATTGGCTGCTACGTGGTGCGCGTCTACTACGACTGGTTCCTGGTGAACGGCAGCTGCAAGTGCTGGAAGGCCACTGGTTCCGGTGGACATGGCAGCGGTCTGAACATCAACGAGACCATCAAGCGCATCTTCATCGGCAAGTGGAAGAAGAAGTGAAGATCTAGTACGTCGATTCATTCACCATCAGCATATACTCAGTTTACTCATCAGGGAACATTTTACTATAGTAGGTTTTAGTACATGTTAGGAGATGTTTGCTATTTTCTTCTTCTTCCTCCTCCTCTTCTTGATCTGGCACTTTTTTTCAGAACATTTTTGTAAATAATGACTCAACTGGCAGCGTACAGAGTAGCATTTCAAGTATGGGCAAACGAGTGTTAACTGAACTGTCACCTGCTTCGGGTAAAACAGACCGAAGTTCTCGCTCTCTTTTTGTGTGGAATAAAAAAATTTGCTTTTTCTTTATCAGTGTGGTCATCTCAGTAAGTCAAAGTTTTGTCTTCAAGTGCTTTCACACTGATAATCAGTGTCACTGATTGCACTTACCACCATTGGCACGTGCATCAAAACGAGTTCATCACCGATGACTGAGGCGCAAGTGCCACTGAGTTCAGTAGGTGATTAGGAATGAGCTGGCGGTGGTGATGTACACTGTGTTTGTACAGTGCTGCTGCTGCTGGTGGTGGCAATGACTTGCCGGCCAAGCTCAGTCGTCCTGCAGACACCGAGGAGAGCAGACGTGCCTGGCTTCCTGCCCGCTGCTGCTTTTACCTGGCGGCATGGCCTGCGCCCGCCGCCGCCGAAGACATCGGCTGGCTCTGCCACGTCCAGGACTGGCCATCCTTCTCTCTTGGATCACCCTCATCACCATCACCATTTCCATCCTCTTCTCTCACTCTCGCTCTCGCTCCCACCGGCTCCCCAGCAGCCAGAACTCTTCCCCTTCAGATAAGTACTCTGGGCGTTTGTTGTGCTTCAGTTCTTGATACTTTGTGTAACCGTTTGCTTTCTCCCTTTTTTGCAGGATCGTCACCTCTCTGGTCTGCTCTGGTCTTCATCACCTTATCGCCCTCACTTCTCCTCTCTTCCTGCACCAGCCGAGCTGAAGGACGAGCTGATCATCACCACCACCACCATCATCATCACCACCACCACCATCATCACCACCACCACCATCATCATCATCATCGTTACCTGCAGTCAACTTCACTCGAGGGCGACGACTGAAGAGGACGGTGGTCTGGCGGCCAGCAGCAACATTAGCCCACTTCGAAGATAGGTGGATGGAACCGAGGATGGACGGGACAGTCCAAGTCGAGGATGGCATCGCCGACGAAGGATCATCATCATCATCAGCATCATCATCATCAGCAACAGTCTTTGGCTTGGACAGCCGAGGACTTAGTTTTCTTTTGTAAAACTTTGTAATGTTTGGATGGTTTAGAATGAATAAAGACAAGTTGAAATACATGTTTGAAGAGTGTTTTATTTGTTTATTATAAAATACAAAAAGGAAAGGAAAGAAAGGAAAGAAGAGGCAGCAACCCATGGCCTCCTCCCTTCCCTCTACTTACCCATCCTCGTCGCCGTCTTCAGACAGTCGACCGTCCTTGTCGACTGTCCTCTTCGGTCCCCCCACGTCCGAGGGAGGACAGTAATATCTTGACGGACCTGATCTTTTGATTACCCAGCAAATGTGCAAGGAGGAAAGAGCGGTCGAGACGCTCCAAGCACTAGCTGCGCACCATTTATGGCTGGTGTTCCCCACCATCTTCAGCAGATCGACCGCCAGTGTCGACTGCCTCTTCAGCAAGGCAACCGTCCTGTTGCCTGCCTCTTCGCCCCGTCGTCGTCGGTCTTCAGTCTTCAGTCTTCGTCTTCGGTTTTCGTCGTCGTCGTTGGTCCTCGTTGCATCCATCCTGGTCGTCCATCCCGGTCGTCCTCGGTCCTCGTAGCCGTCGGTCTTCATCGATGTCCATCCTGGTCGCCATCCATCCTGGTCGTCGTCGGTCCTGGGGCTCGCTGGAAAAGGTTTAAGGTTAGAATGGCCAGGTGCTAATCACACTGGCCATGGGTTTCTGCCGGTGAAATAAAAGAAAGAAGGAAGGAAAGAAAGATTAAGAGCACCAGCATAGACACTGGCGCTCTTGTGGTGATGATGATGATGATGATGGTGATGATCTTCAGGCCGAAGCGGGCGCGGGTGCCATCCGAAAGGCGCGCAAGCGAGAGAGACCAGAGAGACTGCAAGGTATAAAAGGAAGTTAGATTCAAAGTAAAACAAACATGGACAATGGACTTACCTCGTCGGCGAGACTTGAGATGATCTTCACCACCAAAACAAAAAGCGCGCACGGGCGCTATCAGCAACAGCAGCGGTGGCGGCGGCATGACCGTCCTCGTCGGTGTATGTACGGCAAATGAGGCGACTGTAGCGCCAGCGACAACGGCGGCCGAGGCAGACAGTCTGCTATCAGGGGTGCCCGTCGTAGATGCAATGCAAGATACCGAAATGGGAACTTCAAATGCGGATATCTCGGGAAGTACTTGAGCTATCAAGGTTTTGTTTGCGCAGGGACACTCCACTATGCGTTTTGCGTCGAATGGGACCATAAAACGGGCAGGTTAGATTTTTGATCAAATCGGCCAAATCTGTAAGGCTATAGCCTTCAAGATTTTGAAAATCTGATCAAAAATTTTTATTGCAGATTCTGACAGTACTCGACGAGAGGACTCCAAATCTAAAAAAACTTTTGCTCCAGAACCACAGGAACATGGTCAATTTTAACTTTTAAAGTTAATTAAAAAATAATTCATAGTTCCAGTGTTGGCCGCTGCGAAAATGTGAGGCGCTACTAGCGCAGACGATTTTTTACGCATTTTTCCGAAAAAACGCGGTTTTTCAGGTTGCGCTGGTAGCGCCTCACATTTTCGCAGCGGCCAACACTGGAACTATGAATTATTTTTTAATTAACTTTAAAGTTAAAATTGACCATGTTCCCGTGGTTCTGGAGCAAAAACTCTTTTGGATTTGCAGTCCTCTCGTCGAGTACTGTCAGAATCTGCAATAAAAATTTTTGATCAGATTTTCAAAATCTTGAAGGCTATAGCCTTACAGATTTGGCCGATTTAGTCAAAAATTTAACCTCCTCATTTTATAACAGATTCTTAAATTACTCGACAAGAGGACTCCAAATCTGAAAGAATTTTTTACCTAAGGCCACGAAAACATGGCCAATTTTAATTTTAAAGTTAATTAAAAATTAATAAAGTTTTCGGTGTTGTCCGCTAGGAACGCCACCGTCGTCGCCATCTTGAAAGTGGCGTTAAAAAATCGTCCANCATGGCCAATTTTAATTTTAAAGTTAATTAAAAATTAATAAAGTTTTCGGTGTTGTCCGCTAGGAACGCTACCGTCGTCGCCATCTTGAAAGTGGCGTTAAAAAATCGTCCATGAGTTTTATTTTTCTCGTGTTCAGAAAACCAGGAAAATAAAGTTTGTGGAGCCCCTGCTGCCATCTAGTGTCTNAAATCGTCCACGAATTTTATTTTTCTCGTGTTCAGAAAACCAGGAAAATAAACTTTGTGGAGCCCCTGCTGCCATCTGGTGTCTGTCGGATGAACATGGCGCAAGAATCCGACTTGCACCAAAGTACGGTAATTCAACCCGACTTTAAAACTCCAATTACCATGTATAACAAATGTCTATATTTATTTTGTAAATTCATTAAAATTGGAATGCATAGAAATAGGTGTGTGTTGAAGAAAAGCAGTTTTGCTAAAATCAGTAAAAGTAAAAGACACATAGTATTGAAGTATAAACAAATTACAATGCTCTGGTGGTAAAAATCACTCAAGATTAAAAATTAGAATAAAACACATTTCTTTGAAGAATAAATACTTTTGCCTGTCCGGTGATGCTCATCATCGGCTGAATTGGTAGTAATTGCTCAAGCACATACTTTCTGGAGGGAAGTTAAGTTCGCGGACTAGAAGAGAGCCTTCTGCTGTTGCTGCTGATGATGAATGAATAAGCAAGCTCCAGTCTGTAGTCCAAGTCAAAGAAGGAGTAGAAGAAGAAGAAGAAGATAGGATAACTCCGAGAAAGTTGAGGAGTGTTGGAATGCTGTGTGTTAGTAGTAGTAGTAGAAGTCCAGGCACCGAAGTTGGCATCATTATCATCATCATCACTGGAGGCGATTATTATTATTGCTAGCGATTGAGGAGGAGTTGACTCCTAGTACCGATTACTGTACTCGTGGTTCCACCGGTTAAAGTCAATGTTGTACACGAGAAAGCGGCCATTCTCCAGGCCGACGAGCAGGTACTTCAGGTCCACCAGCTGAAGGGAGCGAATGCGGTCCACGGGCTGAAGGCCTTGAGCTGCTGCCCCTCCGGCCAAAGAGCCACCGCCTGACGGCGCATCGGCGGTGTTGAAGCTGTACAGCGGCGTCAGGTCAAAGGCGCGGAGAATCTTGATGGTCGTTCCGCCCTCTGTCAGGAGAATGTACTCTCCGTCGCGACTGGTCTGGAGGATGACGCTGCCGTCCTTGCTGCCGCCGCCGGCAATCTCCACGCACTTGATCAGATTGCCCTTCAGGTTGTAGGTGAAGAGGTAGCAGCCTCCGCCGGAGGTGCCGTTTGCACCGGAGCTAGAGGAGGAGGAGGCTGAGCTGGAGTTTCGCTTCAGCGGCCTTCGACCGGCTGCACTTCCTCTTGAAGAGGAGGATCCATCCGCCTCGGGAACGGCGATGCCAATGATGAAGCCCAGCTCACGAGAGATGGTCAGACTGCTGATGGTGTAATCGGTGTCGTCAAAGTTTGGTGGAAAAGCTGAAGAGGAAGAAGTTCCAGTGGACAACGGTTGCCTGTTGTTCAAGCTCTGCTTCTCCGTCGATGAAACTTCAGTCGCTCCAGCAGCAGTAGCAGCGGTGGTGTTGGTGGCTGTGGTAGACGAAGATGATGAAGAGGGTGAAGAGGAGGGGGAGGCACCACCACCGGCGGCAGCAGCGCTCTTAGCCGCCTTGCTCTGCTTCGTCTGCTCAAAGCCCTCCTTGCCGAGCATGCTCGCCTCAATGTTGGCATCTGTTGAAAAGGGAGGTAAACAAAACAAATGGTTACATAATCAGTTTCAAAGTTCAAAACACAACTAAAAAATATTTTACTTACCAACAACTCGCTGCGTCGAAGAACCATTGCCCGAGCGGAAGACACTCATCCCCGGCGAGCTAGTTCCTCCGATAAAGCCACTCTTGCCAAAACTGCCGCCGCCACAAAGCCTAAATCTAAAGTCCACCTCGGTGATGCACTCTCCCTGGCTGGTGGTGTGGATGAGCACTCGACTGGCGCTGCTGCTGACGATGATGCCCAGCTCGGCGCTGATCAGCACCGAGCTGACCGGCGCCTGGTGGCCGACCAGCGTCAGCTTGGGCAGCGGATTGCCCCCCGCAGAGGACTGAAAGTAGTTTGCGGAACCTCCGCCAACACTTCCGCCTCCACTGCCGCCGCCCTCCACCACCGAGTACTTGGCGTTCCACGTCCAGAGGAGGACGCTGCAGTCCTGGCTGCCGCTGACCAGGTAAAAGTCGGCGGCAATGTTGCACTCGCTGCGCGCCAGACAGGTCACCAGGCCCTTGTGCCCGTAGACGACCTGCACCAGGCGGCCGCTGTCCGTCGCGTAGACGCGAAAGGAGGCGTCGTAGAAGGGCGCCAGGAGGATGTACTTCGCGTCCATCGTCACCACGTAGGCGGCCGGCAGGCTGCTGCACAGCCCATTTGTGTCCAGCAGCTGGCGGCTCTTGCTGGCGAGGGCGGCGGCGGTGGCCGCCGCAGAGGGCGTCGCCCCCGCCTGCTGACCACTACCACCACCGCTGCCTATCAGCGAGGCGAGCGCCGGGTCCATGACCAGCGGCGCACTGGCGTTCTCCTTCACCGCCCACCGATGGAGTGAGTACTGCTGGTGGGCGTTGATGGTGACAATGGTAGAGGTGGCTGCCGCCCCCGCCCCCGAGGAGGAGGACCCAGAGGAGGAGGAGGAGGAGCCGCCGCCAGAGGAGCCAGAGACGAGGTGACTGCCTCCTGAACCGCCACCGCCACCACCACCTCCGGTGCAGGCGGAAATGTGCACCACCGGGGCGTTGAAGGGAAACTTCAGCGCCATGGAGAGCTCGTCCAGCGCCCCGCTGAACATCAGCGGCGACACGTGGAGGGCGCTGCTGCGCGGCGGGTGCGGGTCGGCGGTCAGCTGCGAGGGCGTCTGTCCGAAGTGGCGAATCTGCGTCTCGATGGCCTCGCGCAGCGACGGCTCGCCAATCGCCGCCAGGTCGATGTTCCCCTCGTAGGTGAGGTAGTAGAAGACGTTCACCGCGCGGACCGCCTCCGGGCCGCGCTGCTTGTAGCCGAAGATGAGGTCGATCCACTGGTGCAGCTGACAGCTGACCAGGTCCGACTCGAGGGCGGTTCGGTGGATGCGCACAAAGTGCTCCGGGCTTTCCGCCCAGGCGGGCAGCTCAATGTCGGGCAGGAGGCTACCTCCTCCATCCCCGCCGCCGCCACCTCCGCCGCCATTGCAGCGGTAAAAGATCTCCGGGAGGTAGAAAAACTCCGGAATGAGCTCCTTCACGTTCTGCTGGCCGCCCATCAGCGAGGCGACCCAGGCGTCGCGAATTGACTTGAAGAGGCGACTTTCATCCTCGATGCCGCCGTCCTGCAGCGAGAGGTAAATGGAGAGGAAGGGCTGAATGCGAATCAGCCAGCTGAGGGTGAAGGCCGCCGTCGAGTAGTGCGTTCCGTAGTGGAAGGCCGGCACGAGGGCGTTGTCCCAGCTGCTGTACCGCTCGATGAACTCTTCCCGCCGCTCGGAGTTGAGCGCGCCGATCGGCTTGCTGAGGTCGCGAAAGTTGGTCGGCTGGGCGAGGTCCAGCTCGGCGCCCTCGTAGTTGGTGAGGATCCAGGGGAAGACGGGGTACTGGTTCAGGTCCTGGTAGGTGCGGCCGGCAATGGTGTTCAGAAACATCAGGTACTCAAAGTTGGACACCTCCCGTTTCTGCCAGCGGGCGGTCATGTTGGAGGAGGAGAAGAGCTGGCGGGGCGTCATGAGGCTGGCGCGCCGAGACTGCGAGATGCCGTACTTGACGCCGACGCCCACCGGCGGCAGGTAGCGCACCACCTTCTTGACGGTGTCAAAGTCGGCAAAGGCGAACATCACCGAGGTCCGTTGCGAGAGGAAGATCTCCAGGGCATTTTGCTGCAGCAGGTAGCGGCGCGTGAAGATGGCGCGAATGTCGGCGAAGCTGATCTTGCCGTTGTAGGTGAGCAGGTCGCAGTACTGCAGCGCCACCAGGTCCCAGTCCTTGAACTCCTTCAGCGAGCCGCCCTTGGGGCCGATGCCGGAGAGGCCGCGGAAACCGGAGGCGGTGGCAGAGTCGGCGGCGGCGTTGGTGCTGCGCTGGTGCTGAAGAGAGGGATTACCAGAAGAGGTTTTACCGGTGCTATTGACCGGCACCTGCTGCTCCACGTCGCTGCTGTTGTGCGCCTCAAAGAAGATCTCACTGGAGGTAATCTGGAGGATGCCCTCGATGGTGTAGATCGCCCAGATCAGCGCGCACTCCACCGAGTAGAGCACCGAAGAGCTGAACTCCACTGAGGAGCTGCCGGCGGCAGCAGCAGCAGCGGCNCGGCCGCCGCTTCCGCTTCTGCACCGGCCGAGTCCTCGCCGTCCCAGATGCCAAAGGAGGAGTCGGCGCTGTCGTCATCCTCCAGCAGCAGACTTCCATTGGGGTTGTTGTGGCTGTTGCCGTTGCTGTTGCTTGCAGACACTCCACCGCCACCGCCTCCACCACCGCTGTTGCCTCGATTCGGCGGCACAATCGGCGAGGAGAGGTGGTCAGCGTTGCTTTCAGCGTTGCTTTCAGTGCAGCTGTTTGAAGCAGCAACTTCAGAGAGGCCAGCTCCGCCGGCCAGCGCCTTCAGCCGCCCACTGAGCGACTCCCCCAGCGAGTCGTAGACAAATCGCCGCCGTCGCCGCGAGTCATCCTCCCAGCTGTCCAGCTTAAAGTACCGCCGTCGCTCGCTCTCATTCATCTGCTGGCGCAGTGACTCCTTGAAGCGGCTGAAGATCATCCAGTCGCGGCGCTTGGCGCTCAGTATCAGCGAGTTGATGATGCTCTCCTCCTGCAGGCGGGCCGCGTTCGTCTCGATGATGGTCTGCGTGAAGGCGTCGTGTTTGGTCACATCGTCCGCCCGCAGCCGGTTGAGAATGAACTCCGCCTCCATGGCCACCCGAACGATGTGGTCCTTCATGGCGTGGGACAGCAGCCGGCCCTCGTTGATCAGCTCGATGAAGGCGAGGCCGGCGTTCTTCTGCAGCGTGTTCTGCCACTCCTGCGAGCAGAGCAGCATCACCAGCTCCACCGGACTGGCGTCCGCCCGCTTGAAGGTCCGTATCGCCTCGCGGGTGATCAGCTCCTGGCCGTGCGAGCCGAGCAGCGTCTTCGAGAGGAAGGCGGCAAAGTCGACGATGATCTCCTTGAGGAGAGGGCAGATGCTGCTCAGCGTCGCCTCCAGCTTGCTGGTCAGCTTCTCGCTGATGTTCGAAGAGGAGGAGGAGGAGGAGTTGTTTTTTGTGGAAGAGGACAGCTCCACAGAGTCCATGGCGTTCCCCTCTTCAGCGGTGGAGTTCACCTTCAGCTGTGCTTCACCGCCATTCATCGGCGGCGGCGGCGGCGGCACAGCCTGCTTCGGCTCAATAATGTCCCGGTACTTGCTGACCATCAGCACGGAGATAAAGTACAGCGTGGCCAGGGCGAGAAACTGCGACTGCCTCGTGTCCGAGTCGGCGTCCCGGTAGATGCACGCCCGCAGCCGGTTAATGTCCATCTCCTGCAGCAGCGAGGCGGAGTCCTTGATGGGCGTTATCAGGCCGTAGTGCAGACTGTCCATGTCCAGGGCCACCGTCTTGTAGGCGATCAGGTCGCTCAGCTCGGGGTTGAAGTCGACGGCAAAGAGCTCCGCCGAGCTGACGATGCTGACGCCCTTGTAGAGGTACTCGTTCTCGCTGATCAGCTCAAACTCGTACGGAGCAGAGGAGGAGGATGACCCGGGCTGAGCGGATCGCTGCAGCAGCAGACAGTTCTTCACGGCAATGGTGCAGACGATGCGCAGGCACTGGCGGAGAATGCCCCCGCTGGACATGTTCTTCTCCGCCTCCAGCTCGGTGAAGTTGACGTGCGTCGCTGCAAAGCACAGCAGGTCAATCAGATTGGCGAGGCGGTAGATGAGAAAGTTGGCCTGCGAGCTGCTGAAGCCCTCGCCGCCGATGGTGACGCAGGCGGCGGCAGAAGAGGCCGCGGCGCCAGAAGCGGAAGCTGAAGAGGCCGAATTAGATGAGGCCGATGTGCCGCCCGTGGCCGAGGCGAGCAGCGGCAGCAGCCCACCGGAGCTGATGATGACATTGTCGCAGAGCTGGCTGATCAGGTGAATGGCGTTGATGATGTAGATCTGGTTGTCGGCATTCGCCAGCACCGCCTCCATCGCCGAGGCGGCCGCCGCAGAGGAAGAGGCGTTGGAGGCGTTGGACTTGTTGGAGCCCACCGAAGAGCTGGAGCCGGCTGCACCGCCAGAAGCAGTGCTAGCTCCCGCAGCGTCCAGCTTAAAGTCGCCGCAGCTCTGACTGCGCCACACCTGCAGGTCCGCCTCTATGGAGTACAGCAGGTCGTTGAGGAGCTTCAGGTGGAGGGCACTCCAGCGAAACTCCGGTATGCGAAAGGCGGGCGTCGCGGAGACGGAGATGGACGGCTTGCTGGACGGTTTTGCTGATGCCGCAGTGGATTTTGAAGTCTCAGTGGCCTTAGTTGTCGTCGTCGCAGATTGCTGCTGCTGATCATCGTAGCGACCCTTCCGACTGGGCGCCGCGTCTGTGGCTGTGGGGGAAGAAGAGGAGTTTGCCTCCGCTGAAACCGTGGCAGCTGTTTCCGAAGACTCAGAGGTGGTCTTTACTCGTTTGCTTCCGTTTTCATCAGTAGCCGAGTCCTTTGCCGCCCCCAGCGCCGATTCATTCTGAATAGAGCTAATGGTGCAGATGGCGGCCGGCTGCTGCTGCTCGGCAGCCCCTTCATCATCGTCCTCATCCTCGCCTTCTTCATCATCTGCGACATCTTCTTCATCATCCTCTTTATCCACTTCATCACCGCCGCCGCCATCAGCTTCCTTTCTCGAGGAAGTTTTTTTGCTGCTTTTCTTTTTTGCCTGCCGCTGCTCTCCACGTTCATCCTCGGGTCGCGGATCGTCTGCCGATTCGGCCTGCTTGGTCGCCGCCTTGTCACCACCACCTTCAAGGTGATTCGACGCCACCGACTTGACCTTGGCGCCACCAGCACCGCCGCTTCCACCAATGCCACTGGCGGCCAAGTTAGACCGCAGATTCTCCATCGACTTTTTCCTCGACTCCAGCAGATAGGCGTCCATGTAGCTCTGAGTTGAGGCGGCGGCGGCGGCGGAAGCACTTCCCTTTCCGCCAAACTGCTCATTAAAGTCGTCAAAGGAGATCTTGGCGTGGATGATGGCCAGCGTGTCGATCCAGACGCGCCAGCCGCCGTACTCGTACTTGATGGCGTGGTAGAGGAGGATGCGGAAGATGGCCAGTATCTGGTTGGTCACCAGGTCGTTCTTCGCCTCCACCAGGTTGATCAGCCAGTGCTGCCAGACGGACATCTGGAGCACTAGGCGGCGGTTCTCGCGGTTGTTGATCAGCAGCGACCAGAGGTCGTTGATGAAGAGCTCCTTGATCTGCTGCGCACTGCTGCTCTTCTCCTCTGCTGTAGTCGAAGCTGTGGTCGAGGTGGAGTTCAAGGAGGAGGCACCTGCCGTCTCCCGCTTGCCCTCAATCAGCAGCGTGGCAATGACCTTCAGCACCATGGCATTCTCAATCTTCAGCACCGAATTGCAGGGACTGGTGATGCGAATCGACTCGATACTGGTCTCCGTCAGAATCTCAAACAGCGCACTGTAGGTGGCCATGGAGAGCGGCGTGAAGCGCATCAGGTGCTCGCACAGCAGCATGTACAGGTTGTGCGGCCCCATGACGTCCGACTTGCGCTTCGCCGTGCTGCGACTGAGAAAGTACCCCAGCAGCTTCAGCGCCTGAATGCGAATCTCCTCGTTGGCGGAGTTCAGTAGCTTGAAGACCGTCTGCACGCCCTGCTTCCCGTCAAAGGCAGGTATCAGAGAGGCGGGGTGCTCGCACATCAGCGACTGCAGCATCTGCAGGACGTCCAGGACGTTGGCGTCCTCGTGCACCGTCGTCAGGTAGTTGAGCACCGCCTGGAGCTCGTCGAGGTGAATGCCGCCGCCCTTGATGATGAGCTGCTTGATGAAGAGGAGGATGTAGGAGCGAATGGTCTCCAGCTCGTCGTAGGAGGGCCGGAGGGAGTAGTCCGTCGCCCGGACCGAGTAGCCCTTCTCCTCCGCCAGCCAGTAGTAGTACTTGAGCGAGTGAAGGAGCTGGAGGACGGTGCTGATGCGCCGCACCTCGTTGAAGATGATGCCGTTGAGGACGGCCGCAGAAGAGCTGCTAGAACTTCCACCACCACCACTTCCGCCATTGCTGATGCTGGCCAGTGTGGCGGCGGCCACCGGCGCATTCGCCCCGCTGAGGAACTCATTGCTGAGGTAGCAGTACAGCTTCAGCTGAATCTTCGCCTCGACGTACACCCACAGCGAGGGGTTGAAGAGGACATTGTCGAGCATCTGCTTGAGGATGAGAGGCGCGTCCGGACCGCCGCCACTGCCACCACCTCCGCCGGAAACTCCCGCCGTGCTAATCAGCGTCTTCGTCAGGCCCAGCAGCACCTCCAAGGTGTCGGCGGTGAGGAGGAGGCGGGCGTTCCGGCCGAGAATGGCCGCAATCGTCACAAAACCGGCCGCCTGCAGCATCTCATTGCCGAACCACTGGGGACTGTACTCCAGCAGGTCGCAGATGAAGCCAATCAGCGTGCCGACGGCCTCCGCATCGGCCCTCCCCGCAAACTTGTAGAGCAGGGGGAGGAGGGCGCGGATGCCGCCCACCGACTGCAGCGTCGCCGCGATGCTGTAGGTGCGCACGGCGGTGGCCGAGCCGAGGAGGGCGGCGTGCGGACTGGAGGTGAAGTAGCTGGTGTTGCCCTTGGGCAGGCCCTGCAGACAGAGCCGTTCGCTCTCCACCGCCACCGGCGTGTACAGGCAGAAGATGGCGGCGGCGAGCTTCTCCTCGTAGAGGACGCGGCGGATGCCGACCGGCAGCTCCAGCTGGCTCTCATTCGGGTGGCGGTACTCGCCGACGTAGCTGGCGCCCAGCCGGTGGATGGAGCAGATCTGCGAGGGGCTGAGGGCCTCGTGGAAGAGGTACAGGGAGGCGATCTGCCCGCTGAAGAGGTAGGTGTCGTGGAGGTCGGGCGTGCCGCCGATGAAGCACTTGTCGAAGTGGTCGCCGGTGGCCACCTGCCAGGCCATCTCGGTGTTGGCCGTCAGCTGCCCGTTGACGTAGACCTTCACCTCGGCGGTGCGCCACCGGGCGACGTAGGTGATGGCGCAGTGGAACCACCGGTGGGGCGTGAACTCGTAGGGAATGCAGTGCTGGAAGCCCTTGCCCTTGATCTTCATCGAGGTGAGGACGAGGCAGTTGCCGGTGAAGTGGGCGGAGTAGCCGACGCCCGATTTGGCCGTGCGGAAGTAGTAAAGGTAGGGCTGCGAGTTGGTGGCGTTCGACTCCAGGCGGAACCAGGTGACGAAGGTCCAGCCATTTTGGATGGGCCACTTGGTGAAGGGCGGCAGGGCCATCACCGAGCCGTTGATGCCGGGAAAGGCGAAGAAGGCGGTGGGGCGGTTGCGCTGGTAGAGGTTGGCGTTGCGCAGGTAGTGCAGCAGCCGGGGGTCCTCCTCGCTCAGGCGGAGAATGGCCAGCAGCTCCTTGACGTTGCAGCTGTAGGTCGTCTGGAGGTTGATGATCTCGCGGATGAAGTGCTTGATGAGGTGGTCGAGGTGGGCGGTCTGCGTGATGGCCACCAGGAGGAGGTCCTTGCTGAACTCGAGGTTGAGCAGCGACTTCTTGAGGACGGCGATGAGGACGCTGAGAATCTCCGCCACCACCTTCGAGGGGAGCATCTTCAGGTAGTCGCAGAAGAAGAGGCGCAGCGTCTGCGGCCGCTTGATGCGCTGCATGTCGTCGGTGATCAGCAGCTTGAGGATGTTGTCGGTGATGAGGTTGATCTCATTGACGTGGATCGAGTGGTTCGCCGACATGGCCGCGAGGATTTTCGTGCACAGCAGGCCGAACTTGACCTCGTCAGAGGTGGAGCTATCGGCCAGCACCTCGTTGATGTCCTCGTAGAAGGAGGTGATAGTGGTGGGCGGAGGAGGAGGAGGTTGTGGAGCTGATGGAGGAGAAGGGTTTATCATGGCGGTCATCGTGGTCGGCGTGATGATATTTGTGACAGTGGCCACTGCTGGTGCTGCTGCTGCGGCTGCAGCAGCTGTTTCTACCGGCACTTTAGTATTGCTAGGCGTCGAGGCTGAAATTGGTGGTGATACTGTAGCGGGACTTTCCACTTCACTCGCCTTCTTTTCGTTATCAACAATTGTGGTGGTGGCTGTTTCTGTTGTTGCTGCTTTTGCTGGGGTTATTGCTGGTGCTGCAGCAGTCTCCAGTGCCGTTTTGCTAGGGCTCTTATCAGCCGGAACTGCTGCTGCTGCTGTTGTCGTTGTTGTTGTTGTTGACTCGGGCGACTTGGGCTCATCAGCGCTGACTGTGACGGGCGGTTGCTGCAGCGGTTGATCACCGGATTCCACAGTCGCTTTTGGTGAGTCTGTCGCATCGTTCAGCTCAGAGTTGACAGCGCCGACAACGCCATTATTGACTGCCTTAGCTGAAGCAGCGGCAGCAGCAGCGGCAGCTTTAGCATCCTCTGATTCAGGAGTAGAACTTTCCTCTGTGCTCTTTTTCTCAGCTTCCTCGGTGCCATTCACCACTACCAGTGGCTGTGGCTCTGGTTGTTGTTCTTTTTGCTGCTTCTCAGGCGCTGGCGGAGGTGATGAGGATGTTGATGGAGAGGCAGCAGCATCTTTGCTGTTTAATTGCTGGGAAGGCACTTCTACGGTGGTTGACGTGTCCAGGAGGACGACCGGCGGAACACCATCAGCATCAGTTACAACTGGGGACGATTGTTGTTGTTCAGGTTGTTCAGGCTGCTGTTGTGGTTGTGGTTGCTGCTGCTCAACTTTCGCCGCTGCTGGACTTTCCACCACTGGTTCATCCGATTCTACCCTGATGAGCTCTGGTTGCTGCTGGTCAGCCGAGGTGGACGTGATCACAGAATCAGAATCAATTGCTTCTAGCACCGGTGCCGAAGAAGTTTCCTGAATTGCACCTTCCACTCCTCCTCCGCTGCTCGCAGCACCACCAGGCGTCGTCTGCAGAAGTTTTTTGCCATCATCAGCGACGACGACATCGGCTGATGGAGAGGCGGCAACGATAACAGCTTCAGTAGCTTCAGTAGCTTCGGCTGCTTCAGTAGCTTCAATGGCTTCCGTTGCTTCAACAGCTTCCGAAAGAGGAGGAGGAGGTGAAGAGGATGGCGGAATATCGCCGCCTCCACCGCCGTCTTCACTCATTGCACTTTTGACTTGTAGTACTTTTTGTTGATGCACAGTTCAAAGAGATGGCAAACTTCAGAAGAAAAGAAGAAGAAAAGGGTGAAAGTAGACTCCTTGGCGACAAGCCAACCAATTAAGAGAAACCAGAAAATGGCTGTTGACGCCGCTGTAGTTGATGATAGTTCTCTCTTCTGCCTGCTTTGACAAGGAAGATGACGCGAAAGACTGTGCAATGAAATGATTTGCCGATTCTACAACACTGCCAGCAGCAGCAGCACAAGGCAGCCAATGTTGATGATGAGCGATAGTGGTTCGGCAGCAGCAGCAGCAGCAGCAGCAGAGTGGGTTCTGCCCCGTAATGGATCCCCCGATGAGTCATTCATCGAGTACACTCTCCCGGACACTGGCCGCCTGCCGGTGTGGGCGTGGGCAGTACCGACCACTGCTGGCACTACTGTCGCTTCTGCGGCGGCTGCTGCGGGCGCCGCCTTGTCAGTCAGGCAGCCAGGCAGACAGCAGCAGACAGTAGAAATCTGCCTCAGTAGAAGTACTTTTTGCGCTGTCGTGGCCAAATGACGGAGCAGATTACCACCGCCACCACCATCATCATCATCATTACAACAGCATGTTGCTACACATCAAAGCAGCAGCATTACATGCACATCGAGAAGAGCAGACAGAGCGAGAGGAGACACTGACACACATGACGACGGCAGGCGAGCTTCGAAAACTTCCGCCCACACCAGTCGCCGCCGATTGCCAGGTGTACACTTTTGCTGTCTGTTGCTGTTGCCACCGGCATAAACGGTGTGGCGCCATCGTGAATGTAGGGAAGCGAGGAGTCTTTACTTTTTCCAGCCTAGTCAGTTATCATCATCATCATAAGGGTCCTCTCCCTTAGCCGGTGAAATGGCGGTACCCTCGGTAGAGCAGCGCAGCGGCGAGGAGAAGCGCCGAGGCGGTGAAGAGCAGGTTCTGGTGTTGGTGCTGCTCAACTTTGGCCATCAGCTTTGAGATAATACTGGGCGAAATGGGCCGGCCGATCATGTAGTACTTCCCAGTGGAGACGATCTCCACCTCGTCGATGAGGGCGCCCATGGCCACCCCTTCGGCGCCCTTCTCCAGCAGTATCTGCTCGTAGCACTTGTTGTGGCCGACCAGGTGACGGCCGTCGGCGGCCTCCTCGGTGATCAGCACGCCCCGGTAGCGGGCCCCCACACGGCCCTCGTACGGCTGAATGGCCTGGAAGAGCTCGCTGGCGGCCTTGCTCCGGCGCTTCACCTCCGCGGTGGGCACGCGGCGCATCTTGGCCGCCGGCGTGCCCGGCCGCGGGTAGAACTGGTTGATGAAAAGGACCGGAAAGCGGTAGCGCTCAATCAGTCGCAGCGACTCCTCAAAGTTCGCCGCCGTCTCGGTGGGGAAGCCGCAGATGATGTCAGTGGCGATGGTGATGCCTTCCACTCTGCAAAAAAATCGAGGATTTAGGAGTTTAGAAAAAAATAGAATAAGAAAAAGAAAGTCAAAGATGACTGATTGACTGACTGACCTCTGCTTGAGAAAGTCGACAATGGTGCAGAAGTCGTCGATGCAGTACTGGCGCTTCATGTCGGCGAGCACCTCGTCGGCGCCCGCCTGCACCGGAATGTGCAGAAAGGCGTAGACGCGCGGGTGCCGCAGAATGGCCGCCATCGCCTCGAGGTGCTCCAAAATGTAGGGCGGGTTGGTCATCCCTGCAATGAAAAGGAGGAAAGTGAACTCATTAAAATCATAGCCAAATAGAAATCACCACCACCACCACTACCACTCACCAATCCTCAGCCGACATCCACTCGGTATGACCTTCACCAGCTCGCTTAGAAGCGCCGGCAGGTTGGTGCCAATGTCTCGCCCGTAGGCGCCCGTGTCCTCGCTGGTGATCCACAGCTCGCGGACGCCCTCGGCAAAGGCGGCCACCGCCCTGCTGACAATCTCCTCCGGTCGGTAGCTGCCCAGCTTGCCGCGGGCGTGCTTCGTCTTGCAGTACGTGCACTCATTCAGGCAGCCGGTGTTGATGGACAGTATCTCCACGAGCGGGTTGCGGCGCACCTTGGGCATCGCCAGCGAGGCGCCGCCCGTCTTCCGCCCGCTCCCGTCCCGGTCCTTGGCCATGCTCAGGTAGCGGACGGTGTTGCCCTGCAGCGTCTGCTCCACCACCTCCACCACCTTGTCGATCTGCTGGACGCCGATGATGCTCAGGCGGCGAAGGTAGGCGGGCTCCTTGCGGTAGTCAGACTGGGGCACGCAGCCGGCCACCACCAGTCGCTTGCCGGCGGCCGTCGCCGCGGTGATCTCATTTCGAAAGTGGTCCTCCGCGGGGTTCTTCACCGTACAGCTGTTGAGCAGCCACAGGTCGGCGGCGGCACGGTCCTCGACGATGCGATAGCCCGCCTGCGAGAGCAGTCCGGCCATGTACTCGCTGTCCGAGCTGTTGTGCGTGCAGCCCCAGGTTTTGAGGAAGATGGAATATTTTCCCGGAAGAAAGCTTCGGTATTCAGTGGTGGTGTTGGGGTTTGAGGTGTCCTCATCTTTAGTTTCTGCTTCATCCTCCAGATCCTCCTTTCGGTAGCGAGGATGGACGCGAACTTTGAAGTTGATTGCGGCTTCATCATTGGTTGCGGCTGTCGTCAGCTCCTTTGTGAGATCCTCAATGTCGCCTAACGTCATCGTCACGGCAAGGGCGTTGGTACCATTCAACAACAATCACAGACTAGTAGAACCTTCTTTTTATTATTGCAACTTGGTTCAGAAGGGAAAAAATTCGGGTAGAATCTGGTAGTATCATCAATGTGTGTGTGTGTGTGCAAAACAGAAAGTGAACAACATGTGCCAAAACAATCCGCCGAGAGAAGCCTGCTGTACACGCTGCAAGTTACAGCCACGACAGCGCACCCGATCCAAGCGGACGCTCATTTATACGGTGCAGGAAGAGTACATCATTCAAATGTGGTTGTGTGGGAAAGAATACATTTTTGAAACAAAAAGAAAAGAGGGGGAAAGGTAAAAGGGAAAGGGCAAAAGGCTTTCAAATGGTGATAGGTTTATCATTGATAGATATCATTATCGTCATCGTCATCGTCGACATCATTAGAAGATGTTCAGCAGCCGAAGGATGGACGGGTCAGTGCGAGCGCCGTCGATGAACTCCTCCAGCGACAGTGTGTTATCATGGTCTGAGTCCATCTGTCGAAAGATCTTCTCGGTGCGCTTTTCCGGCGTGGAGACGTCCTCCTCCAATTTCATCATTTTGCCGATCATTTTGTACATCGCCTGGAAGATCAGTGGGTGATCAGTGGGTTAGATATTGTTCTCTCTGTGTTTCAGGACTTGCAAGAATGACTTACATCAAAGATGGCCAGCATCTCATCACGGCTAATCTTTCCGTCCCCGTCTAAATTAGCAGATCAAAAAATGTTTAGAAAAGGTCACCAACAACAACTAACAGAGAAAAGCACTCACCAATGTCGTAGATGGAAAAGGCCAACCTCAGCTTCTGCTCAATTCGTCCCCTCGAGGTAATCGACAGCGCACAGAGGAACTCTCTGCAAACAAAAAATGATACTAAAAGTTTCTAAAACCTTTCTCCCCTTTACCTGAAGTCAATCTGCCGGTCCTGGTTAAGGTCAAATGTGCGAAAAACGTGCTCGGCGAAGAGGGCGGGGTCGCCGTCGGGGAAGAAGCGCTCGTAGACCTTCTTGAACTCCTTCATCGTCAGGTAGTTGTTGGGGCACTCCTTGACGAAGCCGCGGTACCACTCGTAGATCTCCTCCTCGGTGAACTCGGTCACCTCCAGCAGCTCCTCCAGCACCTCGGGCTTCAGCTTGCTCTGGCTGCGACCCATTTTGTTGATGGTTGGTTGAAATACTCCTATTTTTGTTTGGCTAATGACTTTGGGTGAAAAGGAAAGTTTGGTCAAGTTTAGAAAGGAAAATGATAAGCTTCCGAGTTTTATTATGAGTGAATGAGTGAAAAGAGGGGGTAAAGAAGGGATGGCAGAAGAAGCAGATTGGAAAAGAGGGTGATCAGCAGTGTGCAAGCTCTAGTGCCTAGAGGTGTGTAAGTTCTAAGAGGTGAACAGTGATGAGCCTCATTTTGATTCGGTTAGTAGGGAAAGGAAAAAGAATGACCATAGAGAGACAGAGTATACAGGATCAGAAGATAGGAAAGAGGATGAAGTTAATGAAGATGATAATGATGGTGATGAAAGTGATAATGATGATAAAAACAATATTTTTCGTGGACCTGTCTACAGTAGGATATTCACACACGGGCACACACGTATCGAACAACAACAACAACAATCGTAAACAATCTAATCTTCTTCTTCCTTTCTACATCTCCCCCGAGAGTGAGAGCAACTTGGCGAGGCCGTCGTCGATGTTGCACACCTCGAGGAACTCCTCCAGGCTGATCTTGCCGTCATTGTTGGCGTCCATCTTCTCAAAGATGTCCTTTATCCGTTCGGCCGCCTCCTCGCCCTCAAAGGCGCTCACCGCCTCGTCGCCCAGCATTTCGTGGAGCGCCTTGATGATCCGCGTCATCTCGTCCTTGAGGTTAAGAAGTTTTAGAAGTTTAGTTTTGAAGTTTACGAAGGGTAACAGTGGTAATACTCAACTAGTTCAATGACACCGTTAGAGTCGACGTCGTACATCTGTGCGAGATGATTAAGGTATTTGATGAAGTGAAGTGATGATGATAAATTGAAAGAACATTTTTGTCTTGAAGCAACCTACCTTGAAGGCCCACTTGAGCTTCTCGCGAGCATTGGTGCTGGTGGTGATGCCTATGGCAAGAAGGAACTCCTTGAAATCTGCCATTTGTGGTAATCGTCAGCTCTTGTTAGCACAAAAGATAAATAGAACAAAATGAAAACACATTACCAATGGACCCGTTGCCGTCCTCGTCAAAGGTGCGGTAGACGTGCTCGCAGAACTTCTCCGGATTGCCGCCCTTGAAGAAGTTCTTGTAGATGTCGATGAACTTGTCCCGGGACAGCTTCCCATCGGGGCAGTCCACCTGAAAGCCCTTGTACCAGTCGCGAATCTCCTTCTCCGTGTAGCTGGTGTTCTTCATGAGAAACTGCACGTCCTCATCTGTCAGTTTGACGGCGGAACGAGAGTTGGAGCAGCCCATTCTCTTCTTTTTTATTTCCGGAGAGAAACTTTCAGAAAACACCTCCTGATCAGCAGTGCCACCACTACCACCACTGAATTGCCAACTCCCGGTTCTTCGTTTCAGTATTTCACAAGAGCACGAGCTGAACTTGAATCGTCAGTTAAAGAAGTAGAGCAGCAACTTGTGAATTCAGGTTGAGAGAGCAGAATGGAATGACTGCACACAACGGTCGATAAACAGACTGTCACTGTTTACTGGGTGAGATGAGATGAGAAACAGTTGAAAATCGACAAACATTACCACCACCACAAACACACACAACTGTCGTTGTCGTCGTCGCCGAAAATCGAAAGTCCCAAGTCGCCTCACAGTAGCAAACAAAGAAGAGCACTAAAGAGTTGAGCCGAAGCACAAATTGTTTAGCTGTTAAAGTTCGCATTCAGGTGCAAGACTGACTGACTGCCACTGCCACCGCTGCTGAAATTACCCTACACAGACCAGGACAGAGAAGAAGTGTCTACCCGGCAATGAAGTGGAGCACCAGCTCACTCACTCACTCACTCAAACAAAAAGCAGAGCCGACCAGGAAAATGTCATCGAGTTCGGCTACCGTTGCCGCACTTCTAGTCATTCGAAAATGCCATCGCGCACAATGAAGTCTCTCTCTCTCTCTCTCTCTCTCTCTCTCTCTCTGACTTTCACCCCTTCCTGGCGATATAGTGTGTGGTGTGAATCCAGAACCAGAACCAGAACCAGGAGAACCAGAAGCCCCCTACGGTGGGTCTGATCTGACGATAATGGTGTTGGTGTTGGTTGCGTGTGTACAGCAGCAACAGCAGCAGCAGCAGCACTTGGTGCAATTGCTGGTGGCGATGAGCAGCAGTGGCACGCACCGACACTGATGATAGCTACCAGAGACGAAAAAGTACGGCTCCTGCTTCTTCTTCAGCTGCTGTTGCTGCTGACCCCCTTCTCCTCCTTTGTTGTACCAATTAGCAGCAGCCACGGCGGCAGTGACCAGTGGCAATTAGTGGAAGGAGTACGCAAGAAGCGAGAGCAAATGTCAGCGAACATGCCTGCCAGTGACTGAATGAATGAATGCAAGTGCCAGTGGCAGCACCAGCAGAAGTAGCACTAGTTCTTTCATTCGATTTGCCTTATTAATTGCCTACCTGCCTGCCTCCCTGTTCTGTTCTGCCGTTCTGAAGTAGGCAGACAAAAAAATGGAAAGCATAATCCCGACAGGTAATGCCATTAGCGACATTAACCCGATTACCAGCAAAAGAGGTAAAGTGAAAAGGCACAGTGGTGCACTCTGCACTTTCACTGGTGGTTTGCACCTTGCATACGTTATGTAGCAAAATGGTGTGTGTGAGCTCTACTCTGATCGATTGCAGCACGCTGGGAAAGGGAAAAAATAAAAAGAAAGAAAATGAGAGAAAGTGAAAGACCGAGGCGATGACTCGCTGGTCACGAAGTGGCGGCTAACCAAAATGGTCTTTTGCAGTTCAGTTGGTGGCTAAGTGGGAAGAGGGTGGGGGGGAGGGGGCTACCTGGGCTACTGAAAGTATATAAAAAAAAAGACAAAAAGTATACTCAATCGAAAGAAAGTCGCTCGACTCGGGCTAACGGCGGGTCGCTGCTGCTGAGTGGGTTGAATGAGTGAGAGAAGTGAACGACACAATCAACGGAGAGACTTCTTTCTCTTTTATGTTCAAATGCTAGTGCTACTGTCGCTGCTGATGATCGTAATCGGGATAATGGCCCCAATTGCTACCTCTGCTGCTCAGGATTTCACCATGACAACGGCTTGGTGATGGCAGTGCTCCAGCAAAAGGTGAACAAAAAAGATTACCGATGATGAAAAAGGGGCTAGGAAGTTGGGGCACTTTGCACATGCAGTCCACGCAGTGACCAGTGACCACCACCAGCCAGCACAGGACGGCTGATCGGCGGTGATGATCAGCCAGCGGGCAGACATGATCCGGACTTGCTCTAATTAATTTGCCCCACCAATCAGCTGTGTGCAGCACCGCTTTCTCTCTTTCCCAGCCAAACGTTGGTGTTGGGCGCGCTCGCGCGGGTAAATGACACTAGTGGCGACAGAGACGACGACAACGACCACGACGATGAGGACGACGACAGCTGCGCCAGAAAACATATTGCACAGCTGCTTGACAGCCAGCCACAGTTGAAGGATAGTTACCCAAAGTATGATGACGGATGATGAACCCTGCGAGACATTCAAGGTGCTGAAAAGCAGTGCCGCGGAAGTTCACTGTTGGGCTGCTAGTTCATTGGCCTTCTCTTTTCCGACCTTTGGCACTTGGTTGTCCAGGTACGACGAATATGACAAAGATGATGATGAAGATGTCGATGCGCATCAGCAGATGATGTGATTTCCTCCTCTTTTTCAGCAGCAGGTGTGTGCGCTTGTGAACGATGATGGATGGAAGCAATTGGACAGTTGCGCTCAGGTGATGGCAACAACAGAGACGGTAGCAAGCCTGTTGTTGTGGTAGTGCCGCTGCTGCTGCCGCTGTCGATGGTTGCAGGCAGACACCACCGTACATTGAGAGCGCAGGAGATTTGCCATGTTTTTCTGCTGCTGCTGTTGATGCTACTCACTGGTCGTCTGTGACTGTTGCTCAGTGTCGCTTTTCCCTTCTCTCCTCCTTGCTTACTCATTTGCAAATGTCTTGTGCCACTGCTGCTCCTACTGCTGCACTTTCCACAATATCTTCTTCTTCTTCTTCCCTTCCAATCACCATAAGCCATCAATTGCTTGAGGCTATGTGTTGATGGTGGTGGTGGTGGTGGTAGCAGCATTAATCGTACTACCCCAACGTTTAGTGCACACTGAAAGTGCAGAGTGTGCTTAATGTGCACTGTGAGTAAGTGAATGTATCACTGAACACACGGTGTTCAATCGGAACTGTCAATCAGGGAGCAGTAGTAGTAGTAGGCCTTCACTGCTAATTAATTAATATAGCTGCCTCCTGGCAACTACCTACCGCAAATGAACGCAACGAATGTTCCACCTGACAGGATGACACAGTGGGACAGATTTACGATTGCGGTGGGCAGGCTGTACAGACTGTCTCGAATGCGATCGGCACTAAATGTTGCCGTCGAAGCACTACTCGCATGCAAATGAGTGTGATTGTGCAAATGGAAATGGAAATGGAAAAGAAATGGACGACGGGGATGATGATCAGCAGAAAAGAAAGCTCAAAAAAGAAAAAAAGGGTGGGCGGTGTTTTGTGAGTGAGAAAGAAGTAAGTGTTTTTCAGTCACTTACCTTTACTGACAGCTCAGCGCTGGTGACGCACTGCCAAATAAAATTAGTGCTGAAGTGAAGTGCCGCTGAAGAAATGTAGGAAGAAAAGGAGGAAGAAGAAGAAGAATGTCGCTGTCGTCGAAAGTGTTGAACAGATAAATTTTACAACCACCTTATCAGTCAGTCAGTCAGACAGACAGACAGACAGACAGAAAGAAAGGAAGAAACCTTTCCAACACCAACTTAGGCACCATCACTGCAATAAAAAGATTTAAATGCGCAACAAAATAAAGCAAAAAACAGAGTGAAATTTCGGCTGAAGACTTTTAATCAGAAATCGAAGAACAGTTTTAAGTCTTTTTCGGTGGTGGTGGTGGTGGTTCGGCAGCTGAGCAGTGTCAATTGATTCAATGTCGACCACCGGCACTGGTGTTAGTGTGTGTGTGTGTTTTTTCTGCCCGCAAACCCAAAACACACACACACACCACCTGAAAAGTAGAAGACACAGTGCACGATTCTGGTGTTGCAGACAGCAGCAGCAGCTGCAGCATGTGCAAGCTCTGTGTGCGTTGTTGGAACAACCACCGCCCGAAAGAAAATGAGAAAGAAAAGGAAGGGAAAGGAGGAAAACGAAAATGAAGGAGAGAATGAGTGAATGAAGTGAAGTGAGCTTACCAGCCAGCAGCCAGCAAAGTGTGGTCTCTGAGTCACTGCCAAGGCCTCAACAACTCGTAATACACTCGGGTGGTGGCGACGACGGTGGTGGTAGTAATTTGCACAGGGGAGAATGAGAGAGAGAGAGAAACCGCAAGAAAGCTCTCAATCGAAGGAAGGAAGGAAGAAGAATTGGAAGGCCAGCTGCTGCTGCTGCTGCTGCTGTCTCTTCAATGCCAATGTCAGCCGTCGTAGTTGTCGTCGGTTGAAGAGGAAAGGAAAGGCGAGCAAACAGTAATTAGCTGGTGGCACACACACACATAGTCCTCCGTGCTGGTCGTGGCAATCGTCCTGCTGGTCGCCTCCGCACTCTTCGTCGTCGTCCTCGCCTGCCATCAACTCGTGGCCATGGGGTCCTCGAAAGAAGGCAGTGTAGAGACAGATGAGAGAGAGAGAGAGAGAGAGAGAGAGAGAGAGAGAGAGAGAGAGAGANGAGAGAGAGAGAGAGAGAGAGAGAGAGAGCAAAAAGGCGTCGAATGAATGGCACTAAACACACAACCCAACACAGCGGTACGGAATATAATACAGAATAGAATACAGTACAGTACTGCTCCTGAATAGCCATTAGGGGGATTCTTGTTCTCTCTCTCTCTCTCTCTCGATTCCCTTTCCCATGCCCTTTTCTTGGAATTGTTTGCTCTCGAGAGACCACTGCTCTCTCTCCTCACTTTCTCATTTTCATTCTCATTCTCCGCTTGGCAACACACACACACACAGTCAAACCGAACGACTGGTGTACACCTGCAGAATCAGCCTGCCAATTCCAAAGCGAGCGCCCGAACCGAGTGAACCCTATTGGGGAAGAAAAGAAAAAGAAGGAGGCGGAGTAGTTGTGGAAGGAAATAGCCAACAAGCAAACAAGCAAACAAACAAACACACGCGGGCGAGCACTAGAAGTTCCAGGTGGTGGTGGTGGTGGTACGCAGAACGTACAACGTATTTTTATTTCAGTGTCCGTCTGTCAGCTCTACTACTGAGTGCAGCCAGACTAATCAACTACAGAAGCGTAAGGTGAAAGTGAACA